TTTGAGATGATAAACCCTGCAGAAAGGCTGCCCGTTGCCAAGCGCTTGACTGATTGATTAGAAAATGACTATTTTCGTGTGGTATTCGAGGAAGGGGAGAATCAGGGTTGGTGAGCGAAGCATAAAGGATGATATGTGTGCTGTACACAGCTGTGAGGCGTGGGTCGGTGTGAGTTAAGCGAGGGCTCAGGGGTGGGTACGGACATGCTTCCTGTAAGTGCTGGGCTTCCGATGAGTAGAGAGGAGGAGGCACATGGCAAGGTTTTATGTAAGCCTCCTCGTTTTCAAATATCTTGTTCAAGATTACGGACCCTTGAGCATATAACTAGCATTCCTTTGAAAAGTGCAAATGTGTACATGCATAGAAATGTTAAGCCTGGTCAGTCAATACCAATAGTAACATTAATACTAACTGATCTGAAGTGGAAAACGCTACAATTTTTTTAATATCCTTTCATGTTAGAGTGGAAATACCTGCAAAAAGTGTCGTGATAGTGCTTAAGCGTAATGTTATTATTTGAATAGTTTTGTGATTTTGTAACACAGAGTAAAATAAAAGGAAAAAAAGACCTAAAAATGTCACTTCAAGAGTGAAAAGGTGGAGACCGACCAATCCAATACACGCTTGGCCTTAACATTTGAGGAAATTCCTTTTACCTGACCGAACTTAGTGCAGGAGTGCCCTCTCGTTGCCATGAAGATGACACTCTTTGCACTCTGTACAATGACGGAGCCCCTGCTAGGGTCCCCAGCACTCACATGTTAAGTCCTAATCTCCCATGTGACGGTATGCAGAGACCTGAGCCCCACCCCCACTCGTCTGCGCCACTGTGGTCTGTGGCTTCAGGAAGTGGATGGCTGTCTATGAACCTGGAAGTGGGCCTTCACCAGACTCGGAATGTGCGGCTGTCCTGACCTTGGACTCTCAGCCCCAGGAACTGTGAGAAATCAGCTTCTGGTATCTACAAGCTCCCCAGTGTATAGTGTTTCTTTTTCTGCTATGAGCCCAAAGAGGCAAAGATAACCACAGGCTGAGAAGCTTATAAAAGCTCTCAGGCATAATTAGTGACAATTTATAAACACATTAAATGTGTGAATATGATGAATCACACAACACACACACAAGACACCGTCTGAGAAAGATGTTGAGGAAGAGGAAGAGGCTTCCAAATTGTCTTTCTAGGCCTTTGCCCCTCACATTTTCCCCACCGGTGCACCAGCTATCAGTGTGCTCCTCTGAAAAACTGAAATCGGATAGTTCTTCTGGGACTTGCTATTTATGCTTTCACTCTTAGACATGTTAAGGATAAAGCTGCTTTCTCTAGGTAGAGAAGAATCTCCCCTGAAATGTACCATCTTCCTGGGTGGCTAGAGAAAGGCCTATCATCACACCAGCGTCTAGAAGTGGGTAGGAAATGCCTAGATGTGCGGCAAAATTAACGTTTTTACCCCAGTCTTGATCCTAAAGAACTGAAAATATCAGGGAAACCAGTGCCCACATCTGGGAAACCGGATTCTGGCATCAGGAAAAGAAGCCTCCTCCATAGGAGATACGACTAGACCCTGCTGTTTCCCTCAAAGCGTGTGTGGGAAACTTAGCCCCCTACACAGTGTGAGGAGCAGGGGCTCCCTGGAAGATGTTTAGCCCAGGAGGTCTCCACCTGCACCAATGGACTAATGCCAGCCATAAAGGGACTCACCACCTCTCTTGCCTTGTGATGCCTTCTGCCATGTTACGATCCAGCCCCTCAACACTGGACTCCCCGCCTCCAGAACTGTGAGCTAAGTAAACTTCTCTTGCTTCTGAATTACCCAGTCTCTGTTCACCAACACAAAAGTGATTAAGACAAGGACTCGGGAACACAGACAAATGACACAGACGGGGAATGCCGGTACGGAGCCGTTCAAGCCGGCACCTGAGACCCAGGTTGTGTGAGCTGGATGTCCTGTGCCTGGTTCAGCTTCATTTATAGTCTGCTTGCTCTTAGGATTTGGAATCATCCTCTTGAAAATGTGAGCTTGTCCGAACTCTGCTGACAGGAAGGGGTTTGTGACGGGTCAGGGGCCTGAGTTCTAAATGTAATCTTCCCCCGAGAAGCGAGGCTGAGACGTGCCAGCAGCCATATGAAATGGATTCTCAGGGGCAAACCAAGTCCCAGGCCCAGGCCCAGGCCCTGGCCCCACCACCTTCCCCTGCTGCAAGGTCCCTACACCACCACAGGAGAGATCTCCACACTCCACCTGGGGAATCACCACAGGTCCCTATTGGGTCAATATCATCCCTTAGCTACCACAGACTGATCAGGTCCACACTCTCCCAAATGAATGTTCAGCAAAGGCTCAATACAAGAGACAAATGGAATGATTTCAGGGCTCCAGGAGGATCAAAATCCCCTTACAGAATTCAAGATTCTCTGGGGGCTAAAACCAAGATCTCTGGGTGGCCTGTATTTATTCAGTTATCAGAAGAGGGGATGGGAGTATTCAAGGAAGGGAGGAACTGCTCAAGGAGTCTCCAAGCAAGGATTATGTTAATCTAGGAGAGCTATACTAACTCCAGGAAGGTCTCCACCCAGGTGTGAGATGCCAGTGGCTGCAGTCTTCATCTAGTTAATAGAGGTTGGAGCCAGGTGCCCTTGGCTGTGACCTTGTCTTATCCTTTGAGGCTTCAGGGCTTCACCCATTACAAGCCTCAGTAGGGACCAGTGACTCACAGAGGTTCACTTACTATGTGTCTGCTGCCCATCTCCAGACAAAGGGCCTAGGCCTAGGACAGACTCGCAAGTAAACATGGAAAGCCAACTGATTAAGTCCTGCTCAGGGCTGCTTCATAGTGGTCTCCATCAGGTCCCCTCCCCGCCCAGCTCCACCAGCAAGCGGGATGAAAACAGCACCAGGGCCACACTGTCAGCACCTGGCCTTCCCAGCATCCTCTGTCCTGAATACAAATCTGAGCTTCTGAACGGTTCTTCCCACTTGCAGACCTCTGGCTTGCTAGTGCATGTCATTCTTTGTGGAGAGTCAACTTATCCATGGAAAAAGGAACCAGACAGCACGGAAGGCTGAAACACTTCGCTGTTTCTGGGACTTTGGCTCCGGCGACCATGGGGAGTGGGGGGCTGGCGTTCTGCTGGAGGAGGGCTTGGCTGGAGACACCACTGTCGTCGTTGCTGAGCAATTTCCCAATGGCAGGAGAAGGAAGAAAGAACCCTCAGAGCCACGAAGGCTAGGCTGAGTATGCAAAGCAGGCAGAGCCTGGGGGAACCCAGACCGCAGCAGCAGCCCTGGGGCCTCCTTTTCCAGAGAGCCAAGCCTTAACTACTATTCCAAAAATAGCATCTAAAAGCCAGAGGGCTCCCAAGTGGAGTGGAGATTTAATTTAGATAAAGTGTGCAGAAAGCAGCACAAAATCAGAACTGACAGCAGATAAAGGGTGAGGATGTTTCCTCCCGTGCGTGACCCAGACTCTAAACGAGACACAGGGAGAGATTCCCCAGCACAACAGATTTTTAAGGTCACCCGTCAGCATCCCCAGCCACACGCTCACTGCCACAGGTCTGCCGCCTCCACTGGAAGGAAGAGCCTCACTCTCGGGCTGCAGGTGAGTGGACAAGAGCTGCTGGGCACAAGGACACCTTGGGTCGACCCTGCTGGCACTCCGATGCCACGACGTCCTTCCCGGAAACTGGCTTGTGGGTTTGGTCAGGAGCACAGCTGAATGGTTCCGGCTCCTCCTTCATGAACTCTGCCTGCAATGGGTCTCTCTTCAGACATCACTTCATCTGGAGCAGCTAACCTCCACTTCTCCTCTCTGCGCATTTGTGTTGTTTACATTTTACAGTGTGCATTTAGCATGTTCATTTCCAGTAACAATAAAATACATTTATTGTCACTAACGATGTTGCAAGCCCAGTGCCGCTCGCTTTAGGTAAATTATGTAAGCTTCACGCTTTTAAATGGTGCTCTAGGTACCCCCTTTTAAAAGATGATGGATCTGGAGGTTGGGGGTCATTAGCCCCAAAGCTGGAGCTCAAAGCCCCGGCACCTGATTCTTCATCTGATCTCTGATTCCATCTTTCTGAGCTGCAAGCACGAAGACAGGGATGGCATCCTTCATCCACTGAACAAATAATTAATGAGCAACTTGTGGAGACTATTCTAGGTGTTAGGAGGACAGTAAGCAAAGGAGGTTGCTATTTGTGAAAATAGCGATGTTCTAGAGGTGGGGGAGAAAAGACAAGAGACAAGTAATGCAATCAGTAAGAAAGATAAACCGGGTAGAAATAAAGACCAAGACTGCAGTGCAACAAGCAGATAAGGTGGCTGAGAGGAACCGGGGGCAGTGTGTGGCGAAGAGGGCAAGTGTGACCAGTCTGTGCCCAGGGAAGAGCTCTCTCAGGAGGCAAGATCCCAGCCGAGCCCTGCAGGCTGCGAAGGAAGCAACCCTGCAGATCTGGGGAGAGTCCCAGGTGAGGGCAAGGAGGCCCATGCGGCTGGACCCAAGTGAGTAGGAGGGCGATCCCCCCACTGAGCAGGAGGAGTGTGATAGCGCCCACTGCCGGCACTAAGGGAGAAGGTGCAGAATGGTGCTGCCCCTAGTGGGCTGAGACCTTCCCTCTGTCCCCTCTGCACCCTGTGAGAGCCTGCCTGGGCAGGTGGGGGCCGGCAGACCCCACAGTGTGGAGGCCTGCAAGTCCCAGGCTGTCCCACGTGCCTGCCTGCAACACAGCTGAGAGATGGGCATGCCACTGCTGTGTGTGTCCATGCGTGTGTGTGTGTGTGTGTGTGTGTGTGTGTGTGTGGTGCCTCCATTCACCATCTGCCGAATGGTTTCCTTGCTTGGTTGAACAAATATTCCTCTGCAATCTGAAGAGGAAGCTGGGCATAGTGGTGCACGCCTGTAATCCCAGAACTCGGGAGGCTGAGGCAGGAGGACTGCTACGAGTTCAAGGCCCACCTGGGCAACAAAGTGAGTTCAAGCCCACCCTGAACTCCACAGTGAAACCCTGTCTCAAAGAGAAAAAAAAACAATCTGAAGAGAACAAAACATATACAGCACACAGGAAGAGGCCATCTCCCTGGGGATTACAGCCCTCTTTTCTGGGTGACAGACTCAAGGAGTCATGCTTGCTGCTTCCAAGGGACCCAAGTACGAGCAAGGAGGGAACGTGGCGAAGAGCACACGAGCCTTCCCAAGGACAGTGGGCTTCAGCCAGTTCACACCCACCACGGTAGCCTGACTCGTGCTTTACGCTCCTGTGCACCGGCTGGGACGTGCTATCCAATGAAAATGCCTGAGTGTCTCCAAGCCCCAGACTTACCATAGGAAGACAGCACGAAAGCTACTTTAGATATCTGACTGGCACACCATTTCATCAAGGATTCTAGCAGTCTATGTAGACAATGCTTCTGTTCCTGACTACCTTAGAAAGATAGCACACAGCTAAGGTCAAAGACACAACTCCTGGCCAGGCGCGGCGGCTCGTGCCTATAACCCCAGCACTCAGAAAGCTGAGGCAGGAGCTTTGCCAAGAGTCTGAGGCCAGCGTAGGCTGTGTAAAAGAACTCAAGGCCAACCCACTCTACATAGTGAGACCCTATCTCAAGCCCCACCCCTCAACAAAAGAGGCAACTCCTGGGCCGGAGAGGCAGGATTATTCTCAGAGTCAGCAGGGAGCGTGAGCTGTGAGTGGTTCCGAATTCCAGTCTTACTGTTGCAAGCAGTGCGAGCTCCGAGGGCTACGACCTTCTGTGTGCCTCAGGGAGCTAATCTGTAAAGAGAATGATGCTGGGAAGACCCAAACACACAAAGCCCGAGAGTCCTCGCTGCACACTCTGGCATGGATGCGGCCCTCGGACTCCTCCTTCCCATCTTCTCACAGCAAACGGCCGCTCCCTTGTTCCCCGAGGGCCTCGGGCTGCACAGAGGGAAGACCGCAAGCGTGCCTCACGAAGACGCAGTGTGCTTCTCCTCCCGCTGGGATCTGCGAGGTTTCACCCACGGGGAGAGGTTCCCAGTCCAGGGACTCCCGGCCGCAGTCGTGCTGCAGGGAGTGAGGACATCCTGCCCGAACGCTGCACGAGCCAAGCGGGGTCGCCGTGCGTTTCCTTCCCCGCCACCCGACACCCCGTCCTCTTGCTGCCCTCGCAGGGCGCTCACATGGAGAGTCTGCCTGCGGGGAAGGCACATTTTCCTGACTCGGGCAGATCAGAAAGTCATTGACTCCGAAAATTAAACCTATCTGAGAGAATATTCAGCCAGACTCACTGTCAGGCTGACTTCAGCAGGCGCTGTGAACGCCCCGCCTGCTCTCAGCGAGCAAGGCAAACGTGCTCTCCAAGCCCCTCTGCCTCCCCCGCCCTCTGCTCTGTCTGGAAGGCTCTTATCGCCTCTGCGGCACCTGGAAAAAGGATATTCTCTCAAAGCCAAGTTCAACGTCACCTTCTCTATAAGCTTTTCGAAATCACCGCAGCACACACAGCAAAATTAGCCCTCTAGCTCCTCATCTCTCAGCGTCTGGGTCCTCCCGCTGAAAGAAGCTTCCCGTAGCTTCCTCACCAGCACGCTGAGGCAGACTGGGTCTGACTTCCAGCCAGCGTTCTGCTGTCACCCACACGAGCCTGCGATCAATAAAAAGGTGGTGTCTTGTTCTATTCATGTTTGGATTCTATTCATCCATGTTCTATTCATGTCGGTGGGATTGAACCCGTTACCTTGGGACAAGTACCAGAGCTCTCCGATCCCCGTTTCCTCCTCCGCAAAAAGGGACAGTGACCTCCACAGTGAAAGCCACTGCCTATGTTCAGTGACGGGTCAAATGTTACATCGTCTTGCACTCAACATACTCTTGTTTGGGCCGGGAATTTAGCTCAGCAGCACAAGTGTCTGCCTGGCAAGCGCAAGGTCCCGAGTTCAACTCCCAGTACCCTCCCCACCCCGCCAAAAAAGCATACTCTTGTATCTAACCAGGTCACTAGTTGTTGATTAAATGCAGCTATTTAGTAAAATTATTTAGAAACTTTTCCCAGCACATTCCAATGGACAACAGAGTCGACACATGCCACAGTCACGGCATTTAGATGTCAGAAGGAGAAAAGAGTTAACGGCAAACAGACCACCACACCAGAATGGGACGGGGAACTGATATAAAACAAATTACCTTGGTAAGGGAGGAGACGTAGTGGGACAGACAGGTGCCGATGTGTGCAGACTTCACAGGCCACGGCTAGGCATTCACGTTTTATTCCAAGTGCAATGAAAACCATTTAGATTCCCGGTCTTTGAAGAGTGGTGACAAGGACGGACTTATGCTTCTAAAAGTTTAAGCACAGCACAGAGAATGCATTGTGGGTACAAGAATGGAGGCCTGGAGAACATGAGGAGGGTCATGTAGGGACCAGTGAGACGTGGACTGACCTAGGCCGACGGAGGTGCAGATGGGAAGAGCCTTTGTGTGTGCTTCAGGGACTGACCCGAGCAGACTTAGGAGGGAAGTAAGGCTCAGCTAAGGCTTAGTCCGTTCAGGCTGCTGGAACAGATCGCTGTAACCTGAGTGGCTCATAAACAACAGAAATTTATTTCTCAGCTCCAAGGTGCCAGTGAAGACAGCATCTGGGGACAGGCCATTGTCCCGCAGATGGTGCCTTCTCACTGTCTCCTCATGTAGAGCGGGCGAGGCAGCTCTCTGGGGTCCCTTTTATAACGGAACTGATCCCGTTCATGACTGCCTCGGCCAGTCTCAACACCTTCCGAATGTCATTGCCTTGGTGCTGAACAGAATTCCAGGTGACACAGGTGGGCACAAACATTCAGGTGATAGGGTAGGGTTTTTACTTAAGCTTCTAGGTGAGATTAAGAATGAAACACAGAAAACACTTTAAAGCAATTAGTGGTAGATATGTTCCCTATTTTCCTGTTAAGTACAGTTAAAATATCCTTCAAAAATTAAATATAAGATGATTCTGAAAAATAGAGAGAAGGAAGACCAGGCCTGAGGACATAGTTCAATAGCAGAGCACTTGCCTACCAGGGGCAAGGTCCTGTGTTCCAACCCCAGCAGTGCAAAAAAGGAAAGGAAAAAGGCCAGCCCCACCGGGACCCGGGGACACGCGGAACACAGCGAATTCCCTGCACTTTCCTTTCGCCCCACCCCAGGCGTGGGTCTGCCGAGCTCCGCGAGGTCACTGGGGGTGCCGGTGAGCATGCGCTCCAAAAGACACCCCTGTGAAGCCTTTATCTTTACCCACAGGAGCAGCCCAGCGAGGCTTCTTCACACCAGGCGGGCATCTCAGGAAATCCGGTGTCCGCACCGTCACCCACGCTAGCGAGTCCAGGGCAGAGCGAGGGGGACGGGTAAGAGGAGGCCGCGGGAGGGCCGGGAATCTTACCCCTGCTGCCCGGTGACGCGGCCGGCAGCCCCCAGGGAGCCAGGGGAAACCACGCGGGACCTGCGCTTCTGCTCCCGCCAGCGGCCGCACAGCCCTACCCCCTCTCCAGCGGGGTGCGTGGCAGCCGGCCCGACGGACAGTCCAGGCCCCCACCACTCCTCAGCAGCTCTGAGGCTCCGGCCAGGACCCAGGCAGCAGCACGGGGAAACAGGCCCGCGCCCCACCCGAGAGAGCTGAGGACGCCCCAGCCCTCACCACAGACCCGTCCTGGAGGGATGCCCAAGACCAAGGTGTCCACAGGGTCACTTTCTTCATGGCGCCACTCGCCTTGGCTCCCCTGTCTTCCGCCCGTCTTCACCCGGCCTTCCCTCCGAACTTGTGCATTTGAATTGCCTTCTTTACGGACAACGGTCAGATTAGATTAGGGTCCACCCTACCGTCCTCACTTTAATTTAGTTACTACTTTAAAAACCGTATCTCCAGGTAGTCACATCTCGGGTCCTAGGGGTTAGGACTTCAGCACACGGATTTGGGAGAACACAGCTCACCCCTAACAGTTCCACTGTGCTTCTGCACGCAGACCCCTTCCATCCCCCCAACTGCGTCTACCCAAACTTGGCTGATACCTCGTTTCTCCTGTTCCCTCACAATTTATTCATTTATAATCTCTTATTATTATCCTGATAGGCTCTAAGGAGAGAGGGAGAGATGAATGTACTTAGTCTGACATCTTTATCCAGGAATCCCTCCAAGTCCTTTTAAATACCGCCTTCCACTGCAAAGTCCTTTCGCTGATGTCAGACCACTGTAATCACTCTTTTAACCCCCAGTCAGTTAACACATATTTGTCTTTTGTTTCGTTATTCACCTTGTAATTCCACGTATAGATTTTAGGCAACGATGGCTTTTTATAATTTTATTTTTATTCCCTGAATATCTAGCACCATACTGTTTTGATTAAAATGTAAGTAGATTATCTTTATGAATTTAAATGATTCCATTACTATAACTCAAATTCAATTTTTGTCCATGTTTTAATGAACACTTTCCATCATCAAATTAACAGCCCACCATCTTATTGTATGTGGAAGGTTATGGAAGTAACAGTGTAAAATTTCACCAAGTCTCAAAATATAAAACACAGTACCATCTCTTGGATCAAAGCCAGTAATGCAGCTTTTTTTAAAAAGGCAGCTTCAAACTAAATAAAAAGCAGTACCAACTCTATGAAGAATAATTATGTATGGAGATAAGGTTTTGCTTTTCTTACAAGACCTGTTAAAATGGTAATAAAATCGAAGTGAATGTTGATAACCACCACAGTGAAAATCTTAGTTTTAATTCAGAGTTCATTGTTCGTTTTTGTTTCTGTTTTGGCTTTTGGTTTGGGGGTGCTTTTTTGGTTTTTTGAGACAGGTTCTTGCTGTGTAGTTCAGGCTGCCCCTGAACTAACTATATAGCCCAGGCTGACCTTGAACTTGCAGCAATCCTCCTGCCTCAGCCTCCTAAATGCTGGGAGTATAGGTGTGTGCCACCACGCCCAGCTCAGGTTAATTTTTTAAATCTTCATTTTTAAAGATCTACTTTACCTTTTCAGCTACAATTTATAGATAGTTGACCTGTTAACAGGATCTTCTTGGCTTGGATGAAAATTCTCTGGTGGTTGGTGCTATTACCTGGTTATTTAGTGAAAACTTGGTTGCGCTTTGCTTATTAACATCATGACAAATCCAGTGATGTAAAATGAGATGGCAAATGTCAGTGCCACCTGACTCCAACATCTCAGACTAGAAAGCATGAAATTTACTCAGAGGACTACACACCAGTCGGAATCTTGTCACTGACTTGTCTGAGTCCAAATCAGGCTTTTTTATGAGAGGAGGAGATCGGACCAGTTAAAGGGCAGTTGAATCTCAGGTGCCCATTGTAACAGGCACACAAGAAATGAAACAAAATAAAAACATTAAGGTTGACAGTTGAGGTATCAATTATTTTCCACATTCTTATGTGTTTCACTGTTTTCATTTTGGGAAGACTTTCCCACTGCCCCCGAAAACATAATTTTATGGTCTTGCAGGTCTAAGGCAAACCCCTCTCCATCTCGGAGACGTCCTAAGGGCAGGGAACGATCAGAGCTGGGAAGCCTTGGGCTGAGGTGCTGAACCTTTGAACGTAGGGCCAGACTTCAGGAGAGCTCAGTGAATCCGAGATTGTTGGAGGGAGAGTAGGTCTTTGCTTGATTGGCGTAGGCTGGCTGGTCAAGGAGAAGTCTGGTCTGCAGGGGGCACGTGTACAAAGCAGCAGCCAGTGGACTCCAGAGGCAGCTATGCCAGCTCTGCAGACCTTTTCTGTCCTGTGGGGCCCGGACTGCTTCGCCACGTGTTCAGCAGAGCTTTGTCCAACTCTTCCTCCTGGCATCAGCTGGGCACATGAGAAGCGGGGCCCATCCCCAAGCCCAGGGCTAAGCAGGTCTGGGAGGAGCAGCGGCTTGGAGAAGATCACAGATGTCCACAGCAGAGAGGCTGAGGATCGTCCCAGGAGAGCTGATGCATTTCTGCGGCACCCTTTCCCCTTCAAAGCTCAGTGTGATATATAGATTTTAAACCCAGGGCCCACGACGGAACGACTGGGCGAGAAGGGGTGCTTCTCCCACACCCTCCAGGTCCCTAGGAAGACCTGCTGACACCTTAGCAAGGGGCTCTCCTTGAGGCAGGCAGATGGAGCTTCTCACCCAGCCATGGCGAGGTACTGACTCTGAGGATGCTTCCTGGGCCGACACTCCACCATGACCGCCAGCCATCCCACGTGACCACGGCCAAGCGGCACATAACAGGGCGCAAATAAACCCGATGCCTCTCCCGTGCGGGTGACTCAGTCCAAGCACCCACCGAGAGGCACAGAGGCAGCCTGCAGCACCTGTGTGTGGAACGCGCGAGCAGACCGTTTCCACCTCATTGGCTCTCTTCACGTATCTCCCTCGCAGGCTTCACTACTGCACCGCATAACCACAGATTAGCCCTCATTTTTGCTTTCCATGTTGGAAGGAGACACACAGACACGGAGCAACCACTGGCTTGCTATGAAAGTAAAACCCACTTTCGTTTTTATTTCTATTAGAAATGCTTTCCACCATACTCTTGCTATTTTCTGAAGAGCCAGTGGGTGGCAGTAATCCCAACGACGCACCAGCTGTGGGCCCGCTTGCTCGGCCGCTGAGCCGCTGCGTAACCCTGCAGGTCCGGGGCCCAGCCTCACCGAAGGGCACCACTGCCTAAGGCAAACTGACCTCCGCTTGACTGCAGCTCCCCAGCAACTGTTCCCTCCGCCTTCTGGGTTGAGACAGCACACGCAAAGTCCCCGGTGCACTGCCTCGCACAGCAGGGCACAGACAGGAGCTAAATTTACCCAGCCTAACTGAACCGCTGTGACCAGCAAAGAGTTCCACGTGAGAAGCAGAAACTTAAACCCAGCTCCTTTTACCCTCATTTGGTATTCAAAACACGTCTGGTGGGGGGAAGCAGTCTGAATGCAATCTGGTAAGAGAAAATATTTTCCACTGATGGTGAAAAAGGTCTTTCACGTTCAGGCAAGAGCTCTGAGCCAGATTTCAGACTGCCAGGGTACTACTTCATTCCCATTCACTTATCATTCATTTAGTTTGCAGATATTTATTATCTTCACATTACGTGCTAAGCGCTATGCGTTGGGAGTCATTGCTCTGAAAACGCATCGCACACTCCACGGATACAGACTACTTCTAGTTCCGCTCATCTTCACCCAAGTTCTATTAAGAAGAAACAAAACCAGACGCAGACGAGGGGCTTACGCAACACTGACTTCTGGAAGTGCGGGACACTGAGAAGAGCAAGCCACGGCAGCTCTGGTCCCGTGAGGGCCCTCTCGGTTTGCAGGTAACCATCTTCGTGTCCTTCTGCCCACAGCAGAGAGGAGAGCGTAAGCGCAAGGGGAGGGAGAGGAAGCCCGTCCCTGTCCTTCGAATCTCCCCGAGGGCTCCCGCCTCCTGACCTAATTAGCTGCCGAAGGCCCACCTCCAATGCCACTGCCACTGCACTGGGGCTCAGGGTTTCCACCCAGATGTTGGGGGACAGTCAGCTCAGAGCTCCACTGAAACCACACCCGGATGGCCCAAGTGAAAGGGAAAACTGTACAAGGAAAAATTGTTTTGTTAAAAACTTTGTTCTCTTTGAGGCTGCCCAGCTGTCACCGCGTCACGGCTCTGACTGCGCTCCCGACCCCTGTAACCACAAGCGTGTAACTGAACACACAGGAAGCCTGACTCTCTGATGGTCGTTCATCCGGCCCTGTAACCGCCGATCTCACCCTGCTAGCTCATCAGAACAACTGCCGGCCGTCCTCTCCCACCCCTGCGACCGCTGCTTATGCCACATGTAAGAATGCTGCCTTACAGACCCTCGCGTCCTGGCTTTTGCTGACATGGTCCTAGCCAGGACCACCAGCCAGTGAAATAAAGCTGCTCACTGCTTCCTGACCTCCTCGGGTACCATTCCTTCCCCAGACGGTTCTGCTGCAACACAGGTGCTAGAACTTCTCAGCAAGGCACACGACTAGATTCTCTAGCAGTCCGGCAGGAATTTCAGGAACCAGCACAGAGCTCTGAGTTATGTTACTGTTCACATGACTTTGGCCAAGAAATTTGACCTTTCTGGGTTTATTTTCCCACTAAGTATCTCACTGGATGTTTGCAAGGATCGGTAAGGTGCACTGAGTGAAGGGGTCAGGAAAACTGCACAGCCCCGGGAACAGTTCCCTTAATGTCTTCTAACGTTCACCCACGCCGTGAAACTCTCCACATGACCGGGGGGATGGCTGCAGCACCTGACCTCATGCTTTTCTGTCACTCTGGTTGTACAACAGTTACTTTTTAATTCTCCCTTTCTGGATCAAATTACCTTAGAATTATTTTATCCAGTACTGGAGGTTGCAACCAGGATCTTCACACTGAGCTACACCTCCAGTCCCTTTTTTAATTTTTTATTTTCAGGCAAGCTCTTAGAAGTTGCTAGGTTACCCCGGCTGGGCTCACACTCGTGATGCTCCTCCCTCAGCCTCCTGTGCAGACTTACTCCTGCCTGGTGCTTGTACTCACGTCGCAACTGGGGTTTTACTTACTTTTCACTCAGTACACGTTACTGAATACTGACTCCAGACTCTGACGACGCAAACTGGTCTCCGTCGAAGTAGAAACTGCAGCAAGCCTCATTCCCAAAAGAGAACCAGGCCAGGGAGGTGTTCGCTGTACAGTATTTCAGGAACTTCTCAGCAGCTGGGAATCTGCTATTTTGATGACATTTCTATATGCTCTTCAGTATTTCTGACAGCCTAACCCAACCTTTATTCATCTGCTCATTTTCCTAATCTCACCTGCCTCACACACCCTGGGCTTGCCTCTCGTTTCACTAAACGTCGTTTCATGAAGCTAGATCCTGAGTTACCACTGGTATGTTCACTGTCTTCTAACTTAACGGCAATCAGGAAAGCAAACCACAAGCACTGTTGCTGAGGATGGCTGTGGTACTTTTCGGGGGAGCTCTGGTTCTTACTTGCACATCATTTCCTGGCTCCAGTGCAGATCCCTCAGCCTGCTAGCACAGATCCTTCATCCTGCTGGCACAGAATTTCTAGATTCCACCACTGACCTTTGGGCTTTCCTACAGCAGATCCATGAAACAGGCCTGCATGAGATATTGACATGGACTCTGGGCCTCCAGCCAGACTCGTGGGAGGCAATGTCATGAACTCTAGGTCTTCAGCAGGACTCATGCAGCACATTTCTGCAGGATCCAGGCCCTCAGCTGGATTCCTTGGTCTTAGTGTGTGGACAGATTTCCTGCACTCTCTTGTATATGACTCTTTGGGTGACTATTATACATAATCTTATAAAATGTGTTCTGTATTATACTGTTCAGCTTGGAAATACACCCCAAACCCTAACAAGTACTAAAATCTACACTAGAACTCAGGCATATCCTCCTCAGACACTGTTCTCTGGAGAGAGAATAAACCCAAAGAAGTATCTTACAGGGCCAACGTTCGGTTTCACGTGTCACCTGTGTCTCCTCCCTTTATTTTTTTCCCCGCCCTCTCAGGCTGGCATTTCACAAGCAGGAATGCTGAACTGTCCTCGTACAAAATCAAGACGTGCAGAGGCGAGGAAACAGCAGCGCCCCGTGATGCGTCCTAAGGGAACAGGCCTGGCCCTGCCTGTGCCACGGGTAACCCCTGCCGCCACCCGCTGTGCCTCCCAGCGTGAGTTAAGGCTTGCCGCTGGCTGGAGAAGCACCGCCTTCCTCCACTACCGATGCTGCCCGTCCCTCCAGACCCGCCCAGGCCCCACCTCCTGTGCACCGCGTGCCCTCTCTGATCCTTAGATCACCAGCTCCACAACCATCTGTCAAATCGCCCCACTGAGCTTTTCATCACTCACAGTCTGGCTTCCGTGCCAGTCACCACAAAAGCCCAGGCAGTCCTGGCCTCCAAACGCCACGGGAATGGACTGTTTCTTCCCTCCCACTCATTGGAGTGGCTGGTTGTGGTCAAAAAAGTCAAACAAACTAAAAGACCACTTTCTTCTTAACTATGCTGCTTAGCTTCATCACTGGATCCCAGCAGACAGGGCCCAGGCAGCCTGGGAGGCCAAGCCCTCTGGAGGCCCCGCCACTGTTAAGCACAGCCTCCTGCAGGAGCGGGCTGTCCGCACACAGATCTTGGCTTGGTTGTTGCTTGGTGCTGCCTCCTATAAAATAGACATTCTAAAACTGTTTTACTCTTACAGGCTGCTGTAACAAAACAGCATGAACTAGATAGTTTATAAACAAAAAAATCTCTCGCAGTTCTGGAGAATGGGAGGCCTCACGTCAAGACATACGGGTCGCTGATCTCACTGTACCCGCACCTGGCAGCAGGGGCAAAGCAGCTCCCTGGGCCTCTTTATAAACTTATTCCGCACCCGCATGGCCTGATCACCTCCTCACACCATCACACTGGGGATTAGTTTTCAATCCATGAATGACACACTGCGGCAAATGCAGATGTAACAGATGAGGTTTTATAAAATAAAATCATTCAGCAGCCTTTACTGTTAATTCAGACTCCACAGTCAGGGCCCGGGAATATAGCTCAGAGGCACAAGCACCTGCCTGGCAAGCACAAGGTCCTGAGTTTGATTCCAGGTACCAAAAACAATTTTAAAAATAAATAAAAAATTTAAAAAAGCTTATCACCACAGGCTCCACCGTCAGCATCAGCTGCTGAGGGTCCCAGAACTTCAGGTGTTCCTGTGAGGAGTGACCTCTCGCAAAGAGGTGGCTCCTCGCTGCTACCAGACTGAAATCAGGAATGCACACGGCCTGCTCTGGACACTAAAAGAAACCACCAGTCTTGTTAAAAGGCTTACGGGTAGGCAAGTAGGTTGGGGTCAAGCTAAAGTGAGGCTATTCATCCTCATGCTTGGCGGGCGACACTGAAGCTTTCAATTTATATAAACTCAATAAAATAATCATGATAGAAAGAATTTTTAGTTAAGTCTCTGTTGCCCCATTGTTCAACAAAATGAAATCAAACTGACTGAGATAAACTCTAACACGTACACTTCACTTTTCTTCTTTTCTAAGTAAATTCTTTCCAAGCACCCTACTTTAAATATCCCCAGGGAGAAGAACCCACTAACTCTAGCTAATCTAGAAAAACGGTGGCAATCTTGATCATTCAATCCATAAACATTAGCGGACCTTTGCTGTGGACAAGGCCAATGTTCCCACGACTGACATACAGGGCAACTTCACAACGCCCGAGGAGTGTAAAATCCAGCTTGCGCTCGGGATGTGCACACATGGCACGGAAACAAAGGCGAAGCAGGGTGAGATCGTGGGTTACAAGGGTAGATTAATGACCATCAGTACATGAAGCTGGGTACAATGACACAATCAGGCATCCTGCATGTCTGGTTATACTCTCGTGGTTACAGGGGCCAACAAGGTAATTACAAAGCCATGAAGCAGTCACAGAGCTTGAACAAAGTTTTAAAAAGAATTTCTCTTGTAGTTTTTCCCTTACTATGAGAACTACAGTGTAAGAAAAACATCAAGATCTAACCATAGAAAGTATTAGTATTAGTTATTATCAGTAGCCCCAGGAACCTTCCTAAGCTTTTTTCTTTTTCCTGCAGTGCGGATCACACCCAAGGCCTCAAGTATGCTAGGCAAGCACTTACTACCAGGCTTAATCCTCGGCCCTCCTAAGTGCTTTTCATGTATTTTCACACGCGTAACACAGTGCCTGATGGGAAACAGGCTTGGAGCTGCCTAGTGACTCCCTAGAGTCATTAAATCGTCCAACAGCAAAGACAAGACTTGAATCCAAAACCTGCTAAGCAGAAAAGTTTTAGCAAACAAGCATGGGTCGGAGCACATAAAGGCTAGCTCAAGGTCTCAGGACCAGTTATCTATGTTCAACAAGAGCTAAGTCCAAGGTGATCACTGGATTGTAACTTGAACGTCTAATAACCTATACACAGCATGATACAGGATTTGCGACAGTGAAAAGAGTAAAGTCCTCCAGAGGAGGTAAGAAACCAGGCCTGGTCCCCAACTGCGGATGAGGAAAGGGAAGGAAGGAAAGAAGGGGGAGGTGAGCAACAGGGAGGGAGGGTAAGAGGAAGGGAGGGAAGGAGAGAAAAAGGGAAGATAGAAAAGGAAGGAGGCAGGAAGGGAAGGGGGGAGGGAAGAAGGGAAGGAGGTGAGAAGGAGAGAGGGAGGAAGAGGACAGAGGAAAGAAGGAAAGGAAGGAAAGGAGGAGGAAAGGAGGGAGGAGGGGGAGAGGAAGGGAAAAAGAAAGAAAGAAAAGGAGAAATGGAAGGAAGGAAGGGAAGGAGGGAAGAGAGGAAGGGAGGAAAGAAAGGAAATACATCTCAGTATCTAATTCCCTCTATAGGAAGATAACTTTATTTGTATGCTAATGAAGCAGCTTTGTCTGTCGTGCAGTTACAAAAACTCATGAAGATATAAAAATATTACATTTATGCGGCACTAAAGAAGGTATCTAAATATAACCTTTTAAAATGATTAATAAAATACTGACTCTTACAACTCATATATATTTATATTTTTATTTTCAGAAAAGGACTTATAAATAGTTCACCTAAATTACATTTCTCACTAGTTGGATCACAATTCACTTAACTTGTGTCCAAAAAGTTTTTCCTGTATGATTTTCATTTTCTTAAAAAAACAAAACACAACACTGTATTTTCCATAGAAAAAAAGTTACATATGTCAAAACAATAATTTCAGTAAAAATGGAAATCAACCACCATATCTTTTCTTAAGTTCTTCAACAGAATCATCTTTTAATCCTGACTTGTCTATGTGCTTGAATAATACACGTGCAACTGAAAAAGAAAAAAAAAAAAAATCACTTCAATTTTAAAAAACTAACTGAAATGTAAAGGGAGAAATGAGATCTATCCAATAAGCTTTTTATACTTTAAAAACAATTAGAATTAACTGTAAATTCCAATTCATGCATTTAAAAAGCCAACGTGAGTATAAAAATTATACAGCAATCCAATGGCATTCCTTCACAGAATATTTTGCTTTCATAGTATAAAATTTCCCCTACATCTTCAATGGCATTAATCTTGCAGATGAAACATAACTCTGCTTATACTACCCTAAAAAGTTTTTGCCCTGTCCATGTAACAAGTGTACTTTAATATTTTTCTTTCATTTAACTGTTTTTCAATCTTAATTTTTTTTTTTTTTTGGTCTTTTTTTTGGGCGAGGGAGGTTCCAGTACCAGGAATCAAACTCACAACCTCACGCTTGCCAGGAAGGTGCTGTGCCACTGAGCTAAATCCCCAGCCCCGTTTTTTTCAGTCTTTTTGAGACAGGGTCTCACTATGCAGTTCAGGCTAGCCTTGAGCTCACTTTGTAGCCCAGGCTGGTCTCGAACTCACAACAATCCTCCTGCCTCAGCCTCCCAAGTACTGGGATTACAGGCGTGCCCCACCATGCCTGGCAGTCTTAATTTTTTTTTAGACAGGGTCTCGCTATATAATTCAGGTGGCCTTGAAATCATGGTGATTCTCCTGCCTCAGCCTCCTAAGTGCTGGGATTACAGGCATGAGCCACAACTGGCCTCATCATTTTATTTTAAAACTTTATATCACTATTATAAATTGAAAATCAGTAATACCATCTATGAAATCACACTGGATGATCCAGTCATATATTTTTTGGATTACTTATATAACTACTAAAAGTTAAAAAATCTGCCCATGAATCATGTAAAACCATCATTCATACCACTGAGTAATCCACGTTCAACAGTTTGAGAAACACTGTTATAATTCATGCTTCTCAACATTAAACTAGAAAACTCAGCCCCCTGAGGCAGGGGAATTGCGAAGAGTTCAAGGCCAGCCTGGGATACAAAGTGAGTTCAAAGACAGCCTGAACACACAGAGAGACCCTGTCTCCAAAAAAAAAAAAACCAAAACTGGGCAACTCACTAACAGTCAGTAATGATAATGGCAACAATCAAAAGATAACAGCAGCTAATTCTTACTGAATGCTGAGTTATACACCAGGACCACTCTAAGATGCCCTTCACACTGGACTTAGGGAAGTGGACATACACTCAATTTGGACATTTTTTTTTAATAGGCTTTTCGCCCTCAAGTTTCTGCTTTCTCTTTCGTTAACCAAAAACATTTCCTGAAATTCCTGCTTCCTGTGCTCCTGTGTTTAACTTAGCTGTCAGCGGCCACCCAACCAAGACACTGCTGGCTGGCTGGTCTGCAGAGCTCGTGTGTTCTGAGCACACCATGAACTAATCATACCAGAGGGATAAGAATGCCCTCAGCACACCGATGCTGAGAGGGTGTGCAGTACCAGCACTGAGGCTGAGAAACAAAGGTTTTGCCCTCATGGAGCTTTCATTCTGGGGTAGAGAGAGAAATAATGAATACGAAAAGTGCCACAGCTAGTTATATACTACAAGGCAAAGCAAGTAAGCTAACAGAGGGCGAGGGAAATAGCAACGCCGGGCAGGTCCTCTGGCCAGGCTGGTAGACCGGTGTCTTCAGGGGGCAGCAGCTAGGTGAGCAGCGAATGACCGAGGTAGCCCAAGAAGCCGTGTGGGAAGGCGCTGTAGGGGGAGGGACAGTGAAGACCAGGTCCCTGGAGCAAACTACGCCCAGAGTTTGGTGCACTAAAAAGATAAAAAGCCAGTGTGCTGGGGAAAAGTGATCAAAAAAACAAAGAGGTATCCACCAGGAATTTCAGGAAATGTTTTTGGTTAACTGAAGATAAAGCAGAAATTTTAGGGCGAAAAACATATTAAAAAATAAATGTCCAAATTGAGTGTCTGTCCACTTTCCTAAGTCCGGTGTGAAGAGCAGCTTCCTGCTCACAAGCACTCCGCGCTGCTGCTAGGAGCGGAGCAGTGGGAGGCAGGGCTGCGCGGAGCAGCACTGGCCTAGAACGCACGAGGCCTGGCTTCGATCCCCGCGCCACAGACACGAATCATAAATGTGCGCGAGAAACGAGGAGCTCAGAGTATGTTTAGAACAGCAGCTATTTGAAAATGGTATGCTGAGGTTTTTTCTAATTTTTAGAACTAAAAAATCTTGTATTTGAATGATTTTTTTCCGACACCAGAACACAGCCCCGAATTCTGAATAACTGCAGTTTTTGCAGCTGCGTTTTACTTTAATTAGGGTTTCTCAAAGCTGAGCCTTCATCTAACCGACTCAGTGCTACCAAACAAACTCCAGGAAACCGCCTCCCGCAGAACAGACAGGACACTCCGCGCCCAGGTCTGGCTACAGCTCCAGGAGCAGGGACACTTCCCGCGCCCAGGTCTCGAGCATGGTCACAGCTCGCTGGCATCCAGAGGAGCCAGGCGACTGACAGACAGACCGCCTGAGCTCAGACGCTGGGAAGGGCTTTCCTCACTGGGACCCTGGCCATACTCCTTCACTTCTCTACGCTTTGGCTTCTTTGTTTTTTCCTTTAGGAAAATCACAATAGGAGCTGGGGATTTAGCTCAGCGGCACAGCACCTGCCTGGCAAGCGCAAGGTCGTGAGTTCGATTCCCGGTACAGGAAAAAAACAAACAAACAAACAAACAAACAAAAATCTTAAAAAAAAAAAAAGAAAATCACAATAGTACCTATACTGGATAGTACTGTTAGGGTTCTCAAATATAATTTTAATTGTACTTAATTAAGCTGTACCTTAATTGAACAGTTACTTTATAGTTAACTGTTTATCCCTGCACATACTAAGTTCAATGAATGGCTGCTGTCACTTGTTAAATAATAAAGAGCACACAAAAGTAAGTAGATAGAGAAAAGCATTTTTCCTTAGTACTTACTCTTTTTCTCAGGTTCTGACATAAACATCACAGCCATATCAAACCTTTTTAGCTCAGACAGTCTCTGTAAGATTTCAAAAATGAGTGACGGCTTTTCTTTCCTGAAATAATCGAAATATAAAAACGATCAGTTAAAAGTTGCTCACTACCATGAAGGGACACAGCACTACCGCAGGAGAACGTAATTCAAAAAGCCCAACTTACTCCATGTAAAAGTCATGCAGAATTCTCATGATCTGGTTGAACACATCTGGATCTAGATTTTTCTGAAATAACTTAGGATACACGGATGGTTCAATTTGCTTGAAGGAAAGCAGAAAATTAAATTGTGGTGATATTCACATTTCACAAATTATGTAATTACTGCTTAAGTAGAAACAGTAAGAATGATTACTATGCATTACTACTTCAACGTCCTAAGAGACAGAAAACTTGAGAGAACTCTCAAAGAGTGGCAACTATAACTAAAGATTTTAAAAAGATAGTATATTTGGGATTATTTATTGAGTAACTGTAAGGGACTGTTACTATCGTAAAACTTGAAAAAGACTACTATTCACTGAATTGCATGATTTCTTTTTCTTAAAAGCAAATGAAAGCTCATTTCAGAAAAACTGCCTAAATATTGCAAGCATTGCTTCCGACACAGAAGGTACTTGATGTATATTAGCTTTCTTTTCCTGTCGTGAAGGATGAGATTATTAAGCTTGAGCTCTGAGATGGGAAATTAGATTAAGTGATCTTAGACATGAGAATTTAGCACAGAACCTGTGCCCACAGGAAAGCATGACTCAGTAGTCACGGCTGCACATACGTGAACACGGCCTGGCCAGAATAGTACATACATTAGCCAAGGGGCAACGAGCACTGCCTACAATCCTACAAAGCACAGGTGTTACATAGCAGTATTACCACAGTGACAGGGGAGACTGTCTCACCTTTTACTTCCAAGAGAACTACGAGCTTCTTCTCTCTTACCTTTAAATACTGATACAGCATATCTGGAGAGCTTTTCAGCTGTCTGAAATCAGATTCGAGCTGGAACGAGTTGGCAGGAGTCGGAGGCAGAACACTCGTGACAAGCTGAGCCGGGGTTTGCTCTACCTTTCTAGAAATCTCACTGGGAGATGGATATCCACCCTGTTTCAAACTGACTTGAGGTCTGAAATATTTCAGGGCATCAGTCAACCAGTGGGAAAAGAACCACGTAACTAAAGCTCAATAAAAGAAATAGCAGTAGAGATTTTAAATGTCTAACTTTATTAATATTATGTCACTTCTTCGTATTCAAAAGTGTACACACATATTTTGGGGTGAAACAGACCACGCCCTTGCGAAGCTCAAGCTCTGGCGATGAGCGGCTGGTCTGTGCGGAGCGGCTGGCGCGGCCTCTGAGCACACACCTCGTACCGCTGTGTCACACACACTCAGCCTTTGGGAGTCTGAGTTATAGTTTCGATGTATTTCAAGAACTGTTTCTTCCTTTTAAAAAAAGCTCCCTATTTAGGATTTTCCCACAATCCACACTACTACTTTAAACAAAACTACTACAGTACATAAATTCAAAGTTTAAAATTAAAAAAACGTTTCACCGTTTGTTGAGTGGCAATGTAGAACTGTACATGACCATATGTAAATAACGAAGAGCCCAAAATACACCTGGTCTGCATTCTCTGTATTTTCATTAGTAAGGACGCACAGATGAGTAGGTCTTCAATATTAATGGACGGAATAAGGGTAACGTCTAAATTCTACGTTTTAATGAAGCTTCATTTTAAAAAATTCATTTTTTGCTGAATTAAATACAAAACATACTGAAGCCCTAAGAAAGAAAATGAGTAAAATCAATTTGATTCAGACCCTCGCTCATCCTCTCTAAACCATCTCTGTATTGCCCACTACAGTAAAGAGAGAAGATCAGTCCTTAGGCAAAATCCACAGCAGGACACAGACCAAAGAAAACTAGGAATGTGAAGCTAGGCATCTCAGAACGGTAGTGGAAGGAACAAATCAGAAGTCGTATCAGTAATACTACATTTCCAGTGGAATTATCATTATAGACAGACGATTATCAAACATAGATTTGTACTCACTGCAGAGCCGAAGTATCACTGATTTCCTCTGTTTTCAACACTTTTGCTCTTGGGGTATCACTTGAGGGCAGGAGGTCACCTTGGCTCGAATTCTTCTTACTTGCCAGGCCTGCGGCTGCTATTACATTTGCTAGGGTAATAGGATTACTCTCTGGAGCAGCAGCGGTAGTGCTGTCGGGCACATCAACAGTCTGTATCAAATTACCAGTCTCTTCAATAATAACCTTCTTGAGTGGTTTCTAAAACAATTAAAATCAATTCTTTAAATTAATGTGTTAAAGGTTTTCCATTTTAGCGTCACAAGTTAAAAGGATGCCATGTTCTTACAGCTAATACCCCAGCCATCAGTAAATTCAATTTTAGTGGCTAGACAGAATTAGGAACTATCCTCGGTCTGAGAATACAAACAGAAAGCTATGCACCTATCCTAGGCAGGTCTAAATGGGGAACAGAGACAGCACACAAGTAACTATGGGTAACGGGTGGACATGAAAGATGAAAGCCCCAAGTCCCCAGGGAGCTCAGGGAGGAGACACGCCTGACACCAGGGAAGCATTCACAGAAAGGGCACGTGAGACTGGCAAGCTAGAAGGCTGCAGTGGGGCCCACGGGCAGGGCGCCGGTCCAGCAGGACTGGCATGAGGGGAGGTGTGGTGCAGACAGCCGAGGGCTGCCTGAAGACAGCTTACCTAGGGACCTGCAGGCCATGTCAAGGAGGCTGGACGTTATCCTAGAGGCGAAGAAGCTGAAGAGAAACATGACCACACCAGCAACAGTGCTGTAGGCCAACGGAAGGCAAGCAGAGCAAGGACAGACCCGCGGTGGGTAAGAGCCCAGCCTGAAGACAAACCTGACACCCGAGTACCTTCTCCAAGCATGCCGCAGCTACGTAAGGCAGCCCAGGATCACAGATTCACCGATAATGTTTACAAAGCTGGTTTTCCAATTTAACAAAATAAACGGCTTTCACTGCTCCGCCAGCCATTACAAGAACCAAATACTTTCCACCTCTCCGTAAGTTTATAATATTCTTTAATATTCAATAACATATAACAGAAATGCACTGAGAAAACACCATTCCATTAGAAGTGTTGAAATGAAGTAAGAAAAGCTCCTTCTAAACTCTGCAAATTATCGGAAATAGCCGTAGCTATGTGACAGAAGTGGGAAGTTTACTTTCCTCACTTATGCACAGTATATGCTCAAACTCTGATTTTAAAAAGAAAAGCTGGGTGTGGTGGCACACGCCTGTAATCCTAGCACTTGGGAGGCTGAGGCAGGAGAACTGCAAGTTTGAGCCCAATCTGGGCAATGTGGCCAGATCCTGTCTCAAAAAAAAGGGGGGTAAAGCTGTGGGTGGTGGCGCACGCCTGTAATCCCAGCATTCGGGAGGCTGAGGCAGGAGGATCATTGCGAGTTCAAGACCAGCCTGGGCTACAAAGTGATCTCAAGGCCAGCCTGAACTGCACAGTGAGACCCTGTCTCAAAAAGACAAAAAAACAAAAATAAAAAATAGAAAGAGAGAGAAAACTTTCCTGAATATACTCATAAGAGTTCACTCCAAATGCACAGGGAAACTGTAAGTCAAAAGTTACCTGACATATACATTAACTCGGTATTAAAGCCACTCTATTAATACAGTTAGAGATTGAATAGTGACAACGGAGTGTTACTGCACGAACACACAAAATATAAAAACTAAAAACAAATTTGTAAAAGAACCCCGCCGACCATTCCACGTTAAAGAACAGTGTTAACGGCTTGGCTCTGCTTACAACTCTCACTGGCCCGTTTCTTACCAAGACATTGACCAAGAATGGACCTATGTGACTCCTGTTTTGTTTCTGGTACTGGGAACTGAACTCAGGACCTTGCACTTGCCAGGCAGGCCCTCGTGCCACAGAGCTACACCCCAGCCCCTTATGTTAGTCTTTAAAAAAAACAGACCATAATTTCCGCCAAGTAGTAATATAAATTAAATCAATGTGGTCACACTGAAAACCAAGTCCTTTCACTGACAAAGGCTGTGCAATGAGCCTAATTAACATATGTCCTCACAGATGGGCTCTACTGAGCCCAGACCAGTGGGAACGGAGTCGGCGAGGCACTGACGACTGCAAGGAAAGAACAAACCAGAGAAGAAACAACTTAAGAAAATGCTCACGTTCCGTCTCCTACTTTCTGCAGCCTGCCTTTCCTTCCTGACCACCCTCCCCACTGACCAGGGAGTCGCAAAACTACGCGACTAAAGAAGAAAGGAGCATCTGTTTTAGCCAGAACTACCCGGAATCAGCATCTGCGCACTGACTGCCTTGGTATGAACTTACCTGTGAGTTCCTGTAAATTTTAGGAGAAACATAAGGGGACCCTAGGAAATGGGGAATCAGCTGAGCGCTCACAGCTCACAAAGCAGGCACCAAACCAAGTCTCGAAGGCATTACACCAAACTTCCCCCTTCTGTTTTTAAATAATGCCCACTTTATTTTTTACAAAAATCAATTATAAAAATAAACAGCATTCTTCCTTTCTCAGTAGGATGCGAACCTTCTTTGGGTTGGACCATTTACAGAACAGATTATTCCCAGATCACTTCTCTCTGAGGTTTCAAGGTACTCCCAGAGATTTAAATGCATGCTGCATTTTCGTAACTATCAATATAAATTGATTTTTAAAGTGAAAAAGAGGGGAATCCAACCAATTTGCTGCTTAGGGTACACTGATCACAGGACATTACATTTACAGATACTGGATTTACTACATGGCAATGTCTTTGCTATGTATTATGTACTACAATGTCCAATAAAGGCTTTTTGTAAATTTGTGAATTAATTTTTGTGAAAAAGTCTTACAAAGATGTTAACAATTTAAATCATACTTAACTACTTAATCACCTTTACTAAAAAAAAGTGGAATAGGCAATGAATATATGAAAGCAACTAGACTGATGCCTGGAACATGAAACCAGTATTATCCCAGAAAATCCCAAAAGAGAGTCACAACAGGAACACTGGAAAAGTACTACCCTACGGACTCTTCTGTCTGTTACCAAAGCAAAATACGAGCACAGCAAAACCCTTCCTCTCCTCTTCACCCTCTGTAACTTCCCAAGGGGGCAGGAAGAGGGTCTTCATCAGTGAAGGACATACAGGAACGTTTTTGGGAAAAGATAACTTTCAACTTTCTGATCCAGCTGGTTAGTTTTATATATACAGAAAACTTACAAATGTTAGAAATTACCAGGGTCACGTGAAATATATATTGGCCTTAAATTAATTCAACTTCAGATGTTCAACACAATACCAGCAATCTTTCTGTTCCAATATTTCAAGAAAAAAATCCTACCCTTGCTGGACTTAATGGTAAACACTATAGTATGCCCAAAAGTAGGCTAATTTTGCCTATTCTAGATTTTACCTTTTGTGTTAAAGTTAAATCCAACTCCTCATAAGACACAAGACTGATGTAATAAGAAGCCAACCCCAGAAGAACAGTAATAAAATACAAAAACATTTGATTACTACTGAATGTGAGACTGCTTCATTTTCCTTATGTAAGGAAAATACATAGAAATCCTTTAATGAAACATTAAGTTGTTCCAGAAACCTGAACAGCTGAATTTTCCCTAATTTTATTATGTCCATGATCCTAGGAAGTATTTCTTTTTCTCTTTTTTTTAAATTAATGCATATTTGTTTTAACAGAACACTGGGTTTTGTTTTGGTGTATTTATACATGTACAAAGGGAGCACTTCTTAAAGACTGTCAAATAGCCCCATGAAGAGTTCTAACATTTTCTGAAGACTTTGCTAATTCAACAATTTATTTCCAACTCTATCAGTAATAATACTGATATTAGCCAGATAATAATACTGATATTAGCCCAGCCTGGGCTACATAGTGAGTTCAAAACCAAACTGAACTACACAGCAAGACCCTGTCTCAACAAAACAAAAAAACAAAAAGCAAAAAACAAAACAAAACAAAAAAACCCTGATATTTAAATGTTGAAGAAAAGTAAAATTCTCTACTTACAGTTGATCCAAGAGGAAGTGGATTATCAATGGGTTTTACCACATTGTGTCTTTGCGTGGAATCAAGAAAAACATCATCCCAGTGTCCTTTCTCAATTAATTCCTTAAAAATAAATTTGTAATCATAACTATCAAGGTATTCTTAAGTTAATTATCTTTTGGAAAACAGGACCATATTTTGGCAAAAAAAAAAAACTTTACCTTTTTAATTTTTGAAAGTTCTGTCACTGCTTGCTTATTTCCAGGTTCCAGAAGTAAAACAGTTTCAAAATCTAAAGTGAATTTTAAAAATAAAGCAGTGAAAATGGATATGGTTCCCTCAGCTAATACTCACCCCACTTTTACTCAAGCACTTCTACTCAGAAGCGCAGGCTGGCCAACCTGACTGCATACTAGGAAACAGGTGAGCGATAATAAGAACTAGTATTTCTTAGGTGCTATTGTAGTTGCTGGTTGTTTTGTTTTCGGTGATACTAAGAATTCCACTAGTACTAAGCTCCATCTCCAGCCCTTTCTATTTTTTCTTTTGAGACAGACTTTAAATTGCCCAGGCTTTCCTCAAACTTGAAATCTTTCTGCCTCAGCTTCCTGAGTAGCTGGGATTCTACAAGTATACCACCATGCCCAGCCCTCTCGTTGTTTTACATGAACTTTTTCTTTTTCTTTTGTTTTTGTTTTTTAAGATAGAGTCTCACTCTGCAGTACAGACTGGCCCTGAACTCACTTGTAGCCTAAGCTGGCCTTGAACTCATGGCAATCCTCCTGCCTCAGCCTCTTGAGTGCTGGGATTACAGGTGTGTGCCACCACACCTGACTGTATGAATTTTCATGTAAATTTCACTATACTCTCATTTTACAAGTGATAAAATTAAAGTTTAGAGCTCATCTAACTTACAAATCCCACACTGTTAACAGATAACACAGTAACTCACCAAATGTAAGACAGAGTATAAGGAAATCTATATACTAGAATAGCCTTAAAAAGGAATAAAGTGTGGTACATGATACAAATGGATAAACTCTGAAGATGTGCCAGGTTAAACAAGCCTGACACAACAGGATAAACACCATTACAACTTACTTATACTGGGTATTTAAAATAAGCCAAGTCAGACAGACAGCAGAATGGTAATTAGTAGGAAGCAGAGGAAATGGAAAACGGAGAATTATTTTACGGGTACAATTTCAGAATGGGACACTGACAAAGTTCTAGAGATAGGTAGCGATGGTGGCTGCACGGCACTGTAAGTGCACTTACGACCAAAGCATTCACTTAGTATAATTAAGATAGTAAATGCAGTGTTATATATACCTCATCTCACCACGATTTTAAAAAGTCAAGGGCTGCAACGATAGCCAGGCTTGGAGAGACACAGCCACATTTAAATGCACATATCAGAAAAGAGGCTAAAAATCAATCATGTAAGTATTGATTGCAAGAAGTTAGTAAAACAGCAGATTAAACCCAGAGATGAAGGAACAAAATACAGAGTAGAAAAAAATAAAAGGAGAAAGACTCAAGAGGAATCAAGTCAGTTCCTTGGAAACACTTCGTGGTACCTAAGAGACAAGATCGCAGAACAGCAGGAGAAAAAGTAACGCCGAGAACGAAGAGGCAGACTACGAACAGTCTCGCGCTCGGAGCCCCACCCTTCACGCTTGCCTTTCTCTGGCTCTCCTTCCCGTCTCCAACGTAACCGTTCACTCAGTCCCCCTGGCAGTCAGAGCGGACCACAGAGAGTGGCGGTGCAGTCTTTCAAGCCTCCTCACAATCTCAACTACACAGGAGACGTATTCCTCTAGGCCCAGCACTCCCGAACCATGATCTATGTCTCTGATTCTAACCCTTATGTATCTCGCCGGACAGTACGACAGTTGTCTTACCTTGTCTGGCCTCGTTTATCTTTCCCAAAAATGTTCTCGCAGTTCCTCTTCTGGCAAAAGCTTTCGAGTATGAGCCATCTAACGAAATAGCTTGCGTGCAGTCTCTTTCAGCTTCTTCGTATCTATTGAACATGAGGAAGTTACCAACGGGAAAAAACATGCAGCTTATAGAAAAATGCATGTAAGATGAGTTTCTAATTTTAGAAGCATGTATACAATTTCAGTTACCAACTCTCAAATCTGTGCTTAAAGGAAAAGACTACTTTTTAAAATTTTTCATTCTCACTAACTCTTACAGCCATCTGGTAAGGAAGGAGCAGTTCCCAGACTGAGAGAGAGTCAACAAGGAGTCTGCAGGAGGGTGGAATTCATGATGGTGAAATGTGAGTAGAAGAGACAAAACGTTATTGCTGATATACCATGTCCTCTCCCGCCTCAAATGCACAGGTACTAATGGCAGAATTGTAACGGACATTAATTTGGTAATAAAGTTTTATTAACACTCATAGTATGTATCACTTAAGGAAAAACCCACACAAAATTAAGCATCTGTTATGTATGTGACAGCGTATCATCTAACAGTCTGCATAAATACTACTCAGCCATGCAGCCCTCAGACTGGGGACTACTCTACAGCCACCAAGAGCTAAGAAGAGCTACAGTCACATGCACACACACACACACACACACACTCACACACACACGCACACTCACACACACACTCACACACACTCTCACACACACACTCACACACACACTCTCACACACACTCACACACACACACACACTCACACACACCCCAAAAAGCACTCTTCACACCCTCTCTTACATAAAAGTAACATTAAGAAACTACTGCTAATACATTAGGAGTGAAAATGATACTGTAGTAACATATACTTTTCTCTAAAAGTACAATGTCACAATGTCTAAGAGTTAAAACAATATGACAAAAAGGTATGACTTGTTAAAATTAGATGGGTACATGGCTTCTACTATTTTCACCGAAGTCTGAAATTCTGTAAGAATATTTTTTGACAGCCGGGCCTGGTAGCACACACCTACCATTTCAATACTCTGGAGGGTGAGGCAGAAGTATCACTGTGAGCTGGAGGCTAACCTGGGCTAAACAGTGAGTTCAAGGTCAGTCTGAACTACAGAGCAAGACCCTGTCTCAAAAAACCAAAAAAAGAATAGTTTTTGAAATATATGAAAAAAAATCAGAATTTCTAATGAACTTAAACATCTCTGAGATCTTGCTTTTAAAGATGAAACTACGGTAAGTTTCCATCCTGAAAAGACTACAATGTAGCCAATACTTACTTCTCAATCTTCAGATAGGCCATTGCTCTGTTAGCTGGAAGAAGGGCATTAGCGCCATCTGCTGCTATCCCTCTAGTGTAGCATTCAATTGCTCTCTCATATTTTCCCTCTTTGAAAAATCCATTCCCCTATCATTTCAGAGAAATACAGAAAACAATCAAAACATACGCAGAAAAATCCTCTGAATTCAAATCTTAAGAAATTCCCAAATAGACTGTTTGATACTGTCAGTAATTAAGTATTATTTTAATTGTTAAAAACCTAACATGTAAGGTATGTTTTAGAATCTACTAGTGTAGGTTTCTAATGGTGTTACCTCTTTCCAGTACCAAAGAGAAAAATATTGTATACTACTATATTACTTTGCAGAATTCATCAAATTCTAATTAAATATTGTACAAACCTTAAATTTAAAAACACATTTTAGCCAGTGTAGCGGTGCATGCCTATGGTCCCCAGCACTCTGGGATCTAAAGCAGGAGTCACAAGTCTCGGCCCAGCCCAAGTAACTTAGTAAGACCCTGACTCAAAATTTTTAAAAGAAGTTTTTTTTAAATTTAAAAAGAATTGGTGATGTAGTTCTGTGCAAAAGCCCTTGGTTTGATACTCAATACCAAAAAGAAAAACCAACACACATTTTAATAAAGGCCCAAATATTATACTGTCTTTACTTGTAATAGAAACTACATGAAATTATATGAAAAAATTTCATACCTCAAGTAATTTTTGTTTTGTTTTGTTTTTGGTACCAGGAATCGAACTCAGGACCTTGTGCTTGCCAGGCAGGTGCTGTCCCACTGAGCTATATCCCCAGCTCAAACGATTTTTGTAAAAGAACACAGTACCAGAATTGTACAGCCCACCCTTTAGCAACATTAACATATCTAAATACAGAATAAATTAAAGTGTACTAGAATGTAACATTTATTTATAATCATTTAGCTAATAACACAATCATTCCATAAGAATTTATTAGGAATGCTCTATATGCCCATGAAACGCTATAAAAACATTGTATCTAGCCAGGTGTGTTGGAGCACTCGGGAGGCTGAGACAAGAGGATCACCACGAGTTCAAGGACAGCCTTGAACTATGGGCTACATAGTGAATTCAAAGCCAGTCTGAACTACACAGTGAGACCCTTTCTCAAAAACAAGTAAATTTCCTCAACTCAAGTTTTATAGAGAAATTTTAGAGTCTTGTGTGATGAAATAAACTGTAGTTTATATATGTTAAATTTATAATTTCTATATGCACATATGTTAAAACACTCAAGAACGGTCCATTCCCTAAATCTAAGTGTTTCTAGAATTATTTTTTACTACGTATTGTCATCCATTACTCAAATTTCGAATCAGTGGCCCCTAAAGGTTTAGTAAACTTTCAGTTCCACCTTAAGAAAAATCTTAATGTTAGTGGAGGCAGAAACGTAACTCATACACAAGAAACTGAAAGTAAGCACTCAGCAAAAACTACACATCACATTCTGGAGTCCCCATGGAGTACCAGGTCTTTCTCTAAAATCGCCTGCTGCCTGCTTTGCTGTTCTCCAACTTGTTTCTTCTCTCCCTCAGCTGATGCGATTACTGGAGCAGCTCCCTTTGGATAGGCATTTTCTTTAGATGTTAAAGCCTAGGAAACATAGCAACCAACTAAAATAAAACAAGTAATGTGACACGAATACATATCTGGTTTTAAAATGTAAATTACTCTACTATGTTAAAATTCCTGCCACATTCAAATAATTAAAATAGTATTTTCTACCTTAATTCAGCCTTCCTACTTATTGAAGTAAAAAGCAACACATAGGCATGGTGGTGCACATCTGTAATCTTAGCTACCTGGGAGGTGAAGACAGCCTGGGCACTTCAGCACAATCCTATCTCAAAATAAAATTTAAAATATGGCTACAGACGTAATTCAACAGGACAGCACTTGCCTAGCATGCACAAGGTCAATTCAATCGCCAGCACTGGAAAAAAAAGTGCTGAGAAATATATATAGATAGATATAGATAGATATATAGATTTTGGGGGGGAGGTCTTTTTTTGAGTCAGGGTCTCACTAGGCAGAGTTCAGGCTGGTCTTCAACTCACTTTGTAGCCCCAGCTGGCCTTGAACTCTCAATGATCCTCTTGCCTCAGCCTCCCAAGTGCTGGGATTACAGGCATGTGCCACCACATCCGGCTCTATATAATACATTTTAATATGCTTCTGATTCCAGTTAAAATAGGTAGTATCCACTAAATCCACTAAAGGTCATTGTTTATTTATTTATTCCATAAACGTTTACTGAATTTTCAAGCAGACCAGGCACTATTTTAAGAGATCTTTTCAAGTATCACCAAATTCTCAAATTTAATATTCAGTCATTACTTGGCTTAAAATAACATACAATATAATGCAGTTCACAATTCTAATGAAGTTGATATTCTGACCAACAATTTTATGTATGGTTAAGTAATAGTAATTTTACAAGCAGATTTTCCCCAATGTCCCTTTTTTCACTGTTTCAAAAATGGTAGAACAACTATAACTTTGATTCAAAGGCAAAGTGAGAGGAATATGCAACTGCTCGGTTATCATTAGATAAATCAAAGAAAATGCACAGAAATTAAAGCACATGTCAAAAGTGAAAAATCAGTGAAATACAGAAAAAATAATTCTATGAGTCAGAAAAGTAAAGCACCAACAGTTCTAAATGGTTTTAGATGATGATCAATAAGGACCTTTAAACAGCATTGCACTACTTCTAGCTTGCAAAATCATTTGATAAAATTCTACAGTACACAGAAAACATATTAGAAAATCTCTTTAAGAAATCTACCCTACAGATCTCCATGAAAAGTTTTAAATTTGTCAATGTAATTCCCTTAAATAGCTAGGTTACCTGATTGATTTTCCTGAGTTCATTTGTTGCTTCAAAATTATTTGGTTCCAGTTCTAATACTTTTTCATAATCTAAGTAAAGAGAACATAAATTTTTAAAAGGTATTTAAAATACTTGTACAAAACAAAAATCATCTGTTACATGTGATATATAGGTACCTATAGTACAGCAAAATGAAAGAACCAAGAAATATTAAAATTATTTATCTTCCCCCAGGGCAAACAATATCCTAACAGAATCCTATAACAAATCATCTTCTGTCATAAGGTATATATTGTTAAACCAGGAAAAAGTAGAATCTATTAAACATCAGCTTTACTGGTATTTTTTAGTTTACACTGCACAAATCTGTTTTTACAGAGTAATGGAAGCCATAGAATTTACAAGTAAGAACAGTAAGAGCTTTAAGTGCACTACCTCTTGCCCTACAGCAGCCAGAAAAATGCTTTAATCTCTACTTTACAGACAAGAAACTGAAAACAAGAGAAGCTACTGGTCAGACAACCAGTACTTGGCAGACTGACAATCTGAGCCAAAGTCCAGTGGTGGTAAATCATGCACTGTTTCCCAAAACATCAAAATACCTTTCAAACACAAAAGTGAGCTCTGCTACCATACTTTATGCAAAGCTCTGGGAAGGTAGCTAAGTATAATTATTTAGTATTGTTTGCATACTGTCTGTTAGATTAAGCTATTAAAGAACTTTCAGATAATGATGATAAATATTAACTACCTTTTTTGGCATCCTCTAATTTTTGCAAAGCAAATCGAGCAGCACCTCGTCTGGCATAAGCCTTTGCGTAATTTCTATTTAAAGCAATTGCTAAATTACAATCAGACTCAGCAACAGCAAATCTGCAAGACAGAAAATTAATACAAAGTTAATAAAAATCATTTATTAAACCAAAACTTCAAACTTTGTTTCTAAAATCCCTAATGCCTAGAAAGAGAATCTTCTTCCCAATTACCACCACGTTTTCCACTTCTTTTTATTTAATTAAACCTCCTAAAGCAATAATCCCTAAAGGTGAAACTTCAGAAGTATTCGTTTTAAGGAAGAAACAAGATGCCCAATACCACTGTTCTTCCTCAGTACTGTACCAGAGAACCTCCTCAGTGCAGCCCCAGGAAAAGAGATACACAGTAAGGAAACTGGAAAGGAGCTGGAGGGCAGCTCCACGGCTGTGTTTCCGGGACAGGTAAGGCCCTAGGTGAATTTCAGCATTTCCCAAAAAAAAATAGAAACAAAAAAATCTAGAGACTAGAAACATTGCTAAGGTGATGAAAGTCCAGCAAGGTAGCTGCCTCACATATGGAACAACAACAAAAAATACTAACAGAGAAGTGTAAGACACCAAGGCAAAAATTGTAAGATGATCTTCAAAGACATTAAAGAAGATTTACATGGAAATACTGCCATTTGCCCACAGTAAGGCCCAAAATACATAATTTTATTACTCTCCTCAAGCTGATCGATAAATCTCATGCAATTCTAACCAAAATCCCAACAGGTTGTATCAAGAAATTTGACAAAGTGATTGCAAAATTTGTACTGATGAGCAAAGTTCCAAGAATACGTAAAAACACCCTTGAAAAATGAGGTAGAGAACGTGCCTACACTAAATATCAAGATGTACTTATGATGACTCAGAAGTCAAAGATAGTGTGGAACAAAGGCAGGGACAGGCAATAGAACAAGGTAAGACAGCGGCACAGCGCCTGCCTGGCAAGCGCAAGGCATGAGTTCGACTCCAGACACCGGGAAAAAAAAAACAAAAAAAGAAAAAGAACAAGGTCAGACATACAGATGAGAAAACGGCCGGCACGAACAGGGCAGATGGCACGAGCGGCGCTAAAAGTTCAAGAGGAAAGCGTGGCTCTTCCATTAGCAAGACGGGAGCAACCAGATGCTCATATGGAAAAATTATCGAACTGGAACCCTAACTCTAGCACATGTGACAAGTAAAACAAATTTAGAAGAAAATACAAAAGACAATTATGAGTTCAAGATAGTATACCAATTATTTTTTAAAGGTGCTGGTCATTAATTTTGAAGATTAATCATTAAAAATATCAATTCATTTGAAATATATTCAAATTAGGAGGTCCTGTTTGGAAATACTTACGTTATTTTGTGAAATAAAGTGTTAATTCCAGAATTGAAAAAAAGCTATGCTATAAATTGACAAAAAAAAAAGCTATTACAAATAAGTAACAAAAATTGGTCTCTGG